CCCCATGACAGGCTAAATTATACAGGTTTTCTATCCAGAAAAGATGTCCCAATATTCTACAAATCTAAATCCATTTAGTCTAGATGTCAGTTAACCTTCTGTCTTTCTTTCTTTGTGTGACAAAAAGGATCTTTGAGATCTCCTAGATGTTCTTGTAGTGCTAGAGGTGTCGTAACTCAAGAGCAGATCCTGATATGAGTCTACCTGTGTGACTGAAGAGTTAACTGAACAAGCACGTGCCTGCTGTCACTCAGCATCTTCTGAAGTATTGTAAAAACTTCTTGAAATGGAGGCTTGTGCTGTCTGGTGAATGCTGAACTCTGCGCCTTTGCGTGGTTCAAAGGACAGACATACTCCACAGGCTTTGCAAATTGGCTTGTGAACACCATTCTTTTGAGTAGATTTATTCTACTTATTTCACACAGGTGGCCTGTGGATGGTTTTGGCAGGGCTCACAGTAGTTTTCTTAAATCTGCTTTGTCATTTTTCATAGTGATTATTTGATGTGGGCAGCTCCCTGGAAGCTACCTGGGTTATGCCAGCCTAATGCCTCTAGTCTTTGCTTTCAGTGGTGATTAACATATTGCCAAAATATGTTCCTATTTACTTTGAAAATTACTTCCTTTTCCAAGGTCTTTGAAATCTGAACACACTTCTAAAGATTTTGTTTGAACTTCTGATCATAAAATACCTGTGAAGCAGGATCATACTCGAGGCTTCTCAGGAAATCATCGATAGATGGTGGAGTATCTAAATCAGTCAGCAGCAATCCAACGAAAGCTATTTTCAAGCCTTTTAAGAAACGCTTCAGCATCTGCTTGGTCTTAATTGTAGGTATCTGCTGATCCTCTTACGTTAACTTGAAGACTTGAAGTTATGCACTTGTATCGTGTCTCAGAACTCTCCTCCAACTTCTTTGCTCAGCAGTTAGTACCTGTTAATATCTCTTTGTCCTCTCTAGATATTGAACACCTGTATTTACTGTGTCTACAGCTGCCTCAGCTATTGAAACTTCCAGAAAACCCACTGGAACTGAAAAGACTCCTTTTTTTTAAAGATTGATTTGGGTAGTTGCTAACTGGCAACTAAAGTTCACCATATAAAAATGCAACCCCCCTCTAAAATACTAGGCTCTATTTACCTTAAATTTTTTTTATGTAGCTATGCAAAACATGAACTAGATCCTTGACTCAGAAAAAGAGCAATTGTGCTTTATTGGACTCCTTTACTGTTGACGAATGTTGCCGCAAATATTGATCATTAAGAGACTTTTTCAAATGGGCAGCGTGACCTTCATAATGATTATTGCAAGCTCGTTCCTTCTAAATATGTACTTTATGCCTGACAGATAATACACTTGGCTTCTAATATTGACCTGCTTAAAGCATGACTTCCCTGAAACTTCTCCTTTGTCAGCCTGTGTTGCCTTGTTCTTCTGACACAAATCACAGTGACAAAAAATATTTAACTGCTAATATGCTACAGCATTTCTAGTGACACCAAATCTGTAGTACATCACTGCAATGTGTCTTTGAACACTCAGGATTGAAACAGGATTGTACATCTGGGCTGCTTTCAGGAGGATATTATTTGAATTTGTCCTGCCCTAGTTCAGTCTTAATTCGTCAATTTGAAAAAACATCTTATGCCTTCTCTGCTTGTCTGGAAGAATGTTTGTTGCCTCTCCACTCCTTGCTCTGCAGATGTGACACTTCTGTCAAATTTGTAATAATAAAACAGCAACTTTTTTGCAGAGAATAACTGTGCAACGATCATAGTCTTAATGGCACTAAGGCAGTTTATTGATTAGCAACACATAATTTGCCAGTTATTGGTGAACTATATACTGTGGATCAATATTGGCAATACAACAGAAATCACAATACTAGATGCTTACAGAGTGTTAATAAGCACCTACGAATTTCTTATTTTTCCTTCTACAACTGATCCCACTTACATATTAACGCAGCCCTGTGCACATCCCCTCTCTTGTAAGAAGTGGGGATTACAAATGCATACTTCCCATTTCAGGCGTGCGGATTCCCCTGTTTCTGAGTCCTTCTTGTTGCAGATGTAGGCGTGTGTACCTGCGCAGCTCATCCACGTGCCAGTGAAAGCGCACCCTGTGAGTTCCCACACGCGCTCCTGAGAGGTGGGTCCCTACTGCTACGCCTCGTCCTGTCAGCCCCCCAGCCTCTACTGGGCATGGAGTGGCAGCTACTTACCGTGTCCGATGGGGAGGGTGCTCTCCGGCCTTGGAAGCAGTGATGCCTGCTGCTCTGGTACTGCTTTCCCACCCTACGGTTTCTTCCAACAATCGCAAATTCTCGTGCTGCTTTTCAAGCTAACTTCTTTTCTCA